CGAAGAATTCGTTCTTTGTGTCTCGGCGTAGAATGATGTTAGGTATCCATTTTGTTTGAACCTACAACTTTCTATCTATATTTGCCTGTTTCAAATGTTGTCAATAGACATCTCCAGTTGCCTTGTTCTATCCACTATCCTTCTCTTCATCCTTTCCTCTATCTCGTTACAAATCTTATGTAACCCCTTGCGTGCTAGTGGCTTCCAGCCATGCTTGGGGCGAAATGCTTACAAAGAACAAACAAAAAAAAAACTCAAACAATGACAAATATTTAAGGTAACAAAGAGGAACTTAATACATATCATTAATAGTTATTTAACTCAACATAGTTCCGCATGAGATTAGAAATGAAGCACACAGTGAGGATCAATCTCATTTGCATATTATTAATCAGCAGGATGGAAATGTTTTCCTTGTATGTCTTCATGAGATATCACTTTGGCTTCCATTATGTCTACGCAGACACTCCCAAGTAATTTAATAAGTAGCCTGCTTTTTTTTTTTTGCTTTTTTTTTTTTTGGCTTCTTTTTTTTGCTGTTAATTGTTTCCGTTGCTTCAGCTCCATCGGCAATATTTTATTATAAATGCAGTAAAAAAAATAAGCTTACTCTAATATGTAGACATGTTATTTCTTTGGTTGCTTTTCGAGCTAGTTTGTTAAAAATATTCTCATCGATTTGATATTTTATAATGTTTTATATCGCACTGTTTTTTTATAAGTCTACAAATTGCTTTCCGTTTTTTTTCCGAGACGTTCTCTGTCGCGAACGATTTCTTTTGTCTTTCTTTCTTACTTACCTTATTCTTAATTTTAAGTTGTACTTTATTGTTTTGTACTTTTAACTAAAATCGATTCCTTGACCTTTCGCCTATGTGCTGTTTGTATTCGTTGGAAACCCATGATTTTCTTACTTTTCTTCTAATTTCAATCGGTATTCCCCATTTTTACCTTTCTGCCCCGTTCTTTTAATTTTTTTCCTCCTCTTTCCACTGCCTCTGTATTTTGTTCAATCGTCGCTTCTTTTGATAAAGTCGTCATCTTCAAGAAGGTTGTTCTTTCTATTTGCTTTTGACTTTTGCTTTTTACTTTCGTTCTGATGTTTTTTGGGTTTTTTTATAACTTAGTTTTTATTTATTTTATGTTTCGTCATCTTCTAATGTACTACAACCTTTCTCAATCTTTCCTTCTCCTACCTGTATTAGTTATTCGTACTCTTAATATTTCTTAATTTTCCTTTGCTTTTCTTAATTTATGCAGTCGATCTTACGTTTAGCTTTTAAAGGATGTTTCATTAAGACGGATCAAAGCCAGCAGTAAATAAATTAGTGTTATTGTTGAAAATGTATTTATTTCTCTATTAAATCATGTTAATTAAGTCATGGCAATTATGTGTAAAATATAACATCGCCCAAATGTCCACCAAGGCCCCGGTGGCACACCACCACTCGATGGTCAAAATTTTTGATGACGTCTTTGCATAGTTGCTCTTCGATCTCACCAATATGCCTTATTATCTCATCCTTCAGCTGTTGAATTTTTGTTGGCTTATTGGCATAGACCTTAGTTTTGAGAGGACCCTAAAGTAAGAAATCTAAAGCCGCACGATCGTGATGGCCAATTGACATCGCTGTTTCGCGAGATGATGCGAACTAGGAACTTCTAAATGCATTTCTGTTTGAACGTTCATTTTCGTAATAGGCTTCGATAACTTTAACCTGGTTGAAGTTGCCAAAGACTTAAGTTGTTAAATCTGAAAAAAAAAAAAAAAAATAAAAAAAAGTTAAACTCTTAAACTTAATTCATATTTAAAATCGGTCCAAGTTTTTGGAACTCACTTTATCTTGTCAGATATATCAACTTTCTCCCATTGTTCTTTTCACTGGCTTACAGCCACATCACATTGAAAGGGCGGTTCCCGTACAACCACCGAAGTTAAGCAACATCGTGTCTGGTCAGTGTTTAGATGGCTGACTGCTTGAAAACACCAGCTGCAGTAAACTTGGATTTGCGAGTCGTGTAATAGATAATGGCTTGGAATTGTTAATCGGAGAGCCGAGTTCCATTTCCAGTTTGGTTCGTTATAGTCACTTTGGAATGTTAGGAACCAACCGCTCCCACAGATATGGGTTAATTAGAAAAAATTGTGTCATTAAATGATTATCTAAAAATATTTTCTGGCTTCAAAAATCCTGCAAATGGCTCATAATGCGTAATCATTTAATCAAATTCGTTTAATTATTATTATTATTATTATCATCATTATTATTATTATTATCATTATTATTATTCTCTCTGACAATTAGATGTTTCTGCTGGGTGATGAAAATCATCTCCGCTCTTACCTGCAGGTTAGTGACATAGTAAATTCGTCCGTACTATTAAACTATTCCAAGGAGAGTTCCATCAGAAACATCTAAGAGTCGGAGAGAAGATCAAATAATAATAATAATAATATACATATTTCCTTCCGTGTCTCAGTCAGAGATCTAAGATCAGAAATTACATTATTTACATTTTTAACTGTTTATTTTTTAAAAGAAACACCCTAAGATCACACATATTTTATATAGATAAATATCTTCATAATGTGTGAGCTATATTTGTGTGTACAATTTTCGGTATTTCTTTATGGCATGGGCAAACAGAAATCCCTTCAATCAGTCTAACAGACCCATTTACAAACAATCCGAGTGCTCCAACTACAACTGGAATTATTGATGTACTCCTGTGTCACATTTTTTAGATTTCCACTTTTTTTGAAGATCTTCAAAAATCTGAAGGGACTGAAAAGTCAGTAAGAAAGCACATTCTGTTGTTATTATTATTATTATTGTTATTATTATTATTGTTGTTCTTGTTGTTTTTGTTGTTCTTGTTGTTGTTTTGTTGTTACTATTATTATTAATATTATTATTATTATGCTTCAGTGAGAGACTAGCACTTAACCAAATTGTAGCCGTGGTACAAATATACAGACCCAATATACTCCTCATGGCTCTCAATTTAATAGACTTACCAAGTGCATGTATTCCAACTAAATGTGTCCAATATGGTGAAAACGTTGTCTATTTCTGTCCGCGCATATCAAATGATCTATTTTAGTCTGTACTTTGAGCATAACACGGCCCTCTGGCCCGAGGTGAGCAAGTAAATTAGTTTTGTAAAAAGACACGCAACCTTCAATTTTTAGGCGATTCTTTGAAATCTAGAAGGTGGACTCTATCTTTTGATCTAGCTATCTATCTCCTCTGGCCAGAGTTAATTATTTAAAAAAAAATAGTTATGCAACCATCAATCTTTAAGAAATTACACAAATCCAGAGGTGAATTCAAACTTATAATCTGTCTGTCTCTCTCTGCCCGTACATATCAAAAGATTCGGTCTCCATCTCTATACACACACACACATTATATATATATATATATATATATATATATATATATATATATATATGCCCCTGGCCCCATGTTAGCGAGTAAATTAGTTTTGGAAAAGCACAAAATTCAGCGGGTGGCAGATGAACATTTTATCATCTATCTATCATATTTATCATATATATATATATATATATATATATATATATATATATATATATATATATATATATATATTTCACATATATATATTAACAGCCTGTTAATATCTGGTGTTCAATTATCTCTCAATTTCTCTCTTCATATCTATCACTCTATTATTTCTGACTTCATATTTAGCTATCATTTGTGGCTTTATATCTATCTAGTATGAAGTTGTGAAACAGATCGTGACACGGAACATGAAATGATCGAACAAAGTTCGAATCTTAGCTCTTTCGACATGTCCAACTAATGTGCTTGGAAAAACATGACTTCATCTCTAATATGTCTATTCATCCAATTTGTTATCAAAATGAATTCACTGATACTGAATCCAAACCAATCAAACATTCCAATCTTTCACACGGGAAGAATTTTATATCTTCCGTTGGATATAACCACTGCTAATTCGACCGCTATAGTCACTTATGATGATAAGGAAATGTGTGTTGAACGAGCTACGGTGTTTCATTTGCCTGGATTGGCTGATTTTGGTTTTGTCTTTTGAAAGGTATTAGGATTATTCTTCTGCCAGAAACTTTCCTGACTTTCATTTTGTTGCCCTTTTAACATTTTTTTAACATTCTAAGCTATGATTTTAAAATACCGCAGGCCAAGTGACATTAATCACTTGGCTCTGCGCTGTGGCCTCGGTATTTATTAATTTCAAATATGCTATAACTGCAGTGTCAGGTTTCTCTTGAGTTATTCTGTCTCTTTCACCGCGTCTGTGCCTTTTCCTCTTACTTTCTCGTTTTCCTTCTGCTGCATTTGTCTATCTTTCCAACTAGTTACTTTTATTTTTCTTTATTTTCTTTCACCTTAATTTCCTTTCACGTTATTTTGCTTTCATGCCTCTTTTCCTTCATGCTTCTGTTCCTTTCTTGCCTCTTTTCCTTTCTTGCCTCTTTTCCTCATTGATTCTTTTCCTTCACGCCTCTTTTCCTTCACGCCTCTTTTCCTTCACGCCTCTTTTCCTTCACGCCTCTTTTCCTTCACGCCTCTTTTCCACATTGATTCTTTTCTTTCATGCCTCTTTTCTTTCATGCCTCTTTTCTTTCATGCCTCTTTTCCTTAATGCTTCTTTTCCTTAATGCTTATTTTTCTTAATGCTTCTTTTCCTTCTTGCCTCTTTTCCTTCATGAATCTTTTCCTTCGTTCCTCTTTTTCCTTCATAAATCTTTTCCTTCATGCCTTTTTTTCCTTCATGATACTTTTTCTTCATGCCTCTTTTCCTATTTCCTTCATGCCTCTTTTCCTTCATGCCTCTTTTCCTTCATGCTTCTTTTCCTCATTGATTCTTTTCTTTCATGACTCTTTTCTTTCATGATTCTTTTCCTTCATGATTCTTTTCCTTCATGATTCTTTTCCTTCATGCCTCTTTTCCTTCATGATTCTTTACTTTCGTGATTCTTTTCCTTCATGATTCTTTTCCTTCATGATTCTTTTCCTTCATGCCTCTTTTCCTTCATGCCTCTTTTCCTTCATGCCTCTTTTCCTTCATGCCTCTTTTCCTTCATGATTCTTTTCCTTCATAATTCTTTCCGTTCGTGTTTCTTTCCGTTCGTGTTTCTTTTCCTCATTGATTCTTTTTTTCATGCCTCTTTTCCTTCATGCCTCTTTTCCTTCATGCCTCTTTTCCTTCATGCCTCTTTTCCTTCATGCCTCTTTTCCTTCATGATTCTTTCCTCATTGATTCTTTTCTTTCATGCCTTTTTTCTTTCATGCCTCTTTTCTTTCATGCCTCTTTTCCTTCATGCCTCTTTTCCTTCATGCCTCTTTTCCTTCATGATTCTTCTCCTTCATGATTCTTTCCTCATTGATTCTTTTCTTTCATGCCTCTTTTCCTTCATGCCTCTTTTCCTCATTGATTCTTTTCCTTCATGCCTCTTTTCTTTCATGCCTCTTTTCTTTCATGCTTCTTGTCCTTCATAACTCTTTTCTTTCATAACTCTTTTCGTTCATGCTTCTTTTCTGTCATGCTTCTTTTCCGTCATGCTTCTTTTCCGTCATGCTTCTTTTCCGTCATGCTTCTTTTCCTTGATACCTCTTTTCCTTGATACCTCTTTTCCTTCATGCCTCTTTTCCTTCATGCCTCTTTTCCTTCATGCCTCTTTTCCTTCATGCCTCTTGTCCTTCATGCTTCTTGTTCTTCATGATTCTTTTCTTTTATGTCACCTCCTCTGATTTTTCACATCACAAGTTCTTTTTGTCGCATTTTTTTGTTTAATTATCGTATTCTGTGTCATAAAATTATTACATCCTACTACTGGATTGTGTCGAAACTTCGAATAAGTGTAACAGCATCTTACTTGTCATTAATATTTAGAAATTAATATACTTACGATGAATTGTTTTCTAGTATTTAACAACGATGACTCACCACTCCCCCTCAACTTTTCGTGTTTTGGTAAAGACCAGACATTTCTGACATGATTTCTTGTGATTCAATGCTGCAGAGGGATAATTAGATTCATGCCTTTCACAATTATTATTTGAATTTTTAATCAAATTTCCAAATTGGTGCTTCCATTCGGTTTCACCTACTAAACGTATGCCATTTTGAATCTTCTTTTACACTCAACGACCCCTCATTTGTCCAGGTCACACTGATCACCTGCTCCTTCCACCTCTAGACACGGTTTAATTTATTTTTTCTCCATATTTACTTCTTGCAATTTTTTTTTTTTATTTTCGATTTAATTTCACTTTCATTTTATTTATTTCAATTTCTATTTATTTCTTCTTTTCTAAAATTCCCTTTCAGTTATCTTGTAATATATTTGTCTGAGTTTTCTTTATTTCTTTATATATTTATGAATTTAATTTTGCTTTCCCATTCTTCTCTCTTTGTTATTCTCCTGCTAAATTCTCTTTCAGTTTTCTGTTTTTCCTTTTAGTCTTTCACATTTTCCTCTTTTCTTATCTTTCTTTCTTTCTTTCTAGCCATCTTTCGTTTGCTCCATCTTTCGTTTGCTCCATCTTTCGTTTGCTCCATCTTTCGTTTGCTCCATCTTTCGTTCGCTCTACCTATCTTTCTTTCTTTCTTTCTTTCTTTCTTTCTTTCTCACGCTCTACCTTTCTTTCTTTCTCACGCTCTACCTTTCTTTCTTTCTCACGCTCTACCTTTCTTTCTTTCTTTCTTTCTCACGCCCTACTTTTCTTTCTTTCCTTCTTTCTTTCTTTCTTTCTCACGCTCTACCTTTCTTTCTTTCCTTCTTTCTTACGATCTACCTTTCTTTGTCACGCTCTATCTTTCTCCCTTTTCTTCCTCTTTTTTGCTTTATTCCCTTTGTCCTTTCTTTCTCTTTTTTCCTTCTCCCTTTTCTCTTTTCTTTTCTCTTTATTTTTCTCCTTTTCTTTCTCTCTATATTTTTCTCCTTTTTTATTTCTTTTCTTTTTCACTTTTTCTTTTTCTCCCTTTCTTTCTCTTTTCATGTTTCCTTTTCTTTCTTTCTTTCTTTCTTTCTTTCTTTCTTTCTTATTTTTTTTCTAA